AATGTTTACTACAATAAGGTTAGTTAATGCATCTTTCACCTCACATTAATTACCCTTTTGTTGTTTTGGTGACAATATTAAAGCTCTATTCTCATTGCAACTTTTGAGTATACAATATAGTATTGTTAACTTTAGTCACCATGCTGTACCTTAAACCCTGGAACATATTCATCTTATAAGTGGAAGTTTGTACCCTTTGAACATCTTCCCATTTTTTCTACCCCTCAGCTCCTGAAAAACTCTCTATTTCTATAAGTCTGATGTTTTTGATCCCACATATAAGTGAAATTATATAGTTTTTGTCTTTCTCTGTCTGACTTACTTCACTTAGTATGCTCTCAAGTTCCACACATGTTGTTGTAAATGGCAGATATTCACTTTTTATAGCTGATTAATATTCCACTGTGTATATATACACCACATTTTCTTTATCCATTTATCTATCAATGAATATTTAGGTTGTTGCCATGTGTGGTTTACCCATTTTTAAAAATTGTGTGTGGTTTGTTTTCACATTACCAAGTTTTGAGAGTACTTTACATACAAATCCTGGATGCAAGTCCTTTATCAGATATGTGATTTGTAAATATTTTCTTCCAGTCAGTGGCTTGTCTTCTCACTCTCTTAAAATGTCTTTCTAAGAGCAAAATTTTCTTGATTTTCATAGAGCCCAATTTATGATGGATTGTGTTCTTGTATTATATGTAAGAAAACTTGCTCGCGATCACAAATATTTTCTCCTAGAAGTTTTATAGTTTTGGGGTTTACATTTAGATCTATGATCCATTTTGAGCTGAATGGTGTGAAGCATGGATCAGTTTACCTTTTGCATATGGATATCCAATTTTTCTAGCACCATTTTTAAAAACTATCCTCTCTCCACTGACTTGCTTTTGTATTTTTGTTGAAAATCAATTGACCATATATATGTGGGTCTACTTCTGGACTCTGTATTTGTTTACTCCATTTGTCTATCCTTAAGCAAATTTGACTTGATTACTATAGTTTAACAATTTTGAAGTTAGTTACTGTAAGTCCTCCGCACTAGTTCTTATTTTTCAAAATCGTTTTCAATACTCTAGGTTCTTTGCATTTCTACATGGATTATAAAATCAATTTGTCAATTAGACAAAAAGTTGCTAGAATTTTTACTGGGATTGCACTAAATTAACAAATAAATTCGGGAGTAACATCATAATAATATTGAGTTCTCTAATCCATGAAGATGGTATAACTTTCCATTTATTTAGGTCATCTATAAATTTCTCTCAGTAATGTTTGTAGTTTGCAGTGTACAGGGTTTGTTAGAATTTTTTTGTTGGATTTATTCCTACTTCACATTTTTAATATTATTGTAAATGGTAATATTTTTAATTTCTAATTATTAGTTGCTAATATAGAGAAATGAAATTGATTTTTGTCTTGATCTTGTGTCCTGTATCCCTGCTAACCTTCCTTGCTAATTCTAATAGCTTTTTGTGTGTGTAATTTCCATAGGATTTTCTGTGTATGGAATCATGTCAGTTGCAAATAAAGACAGGTTTACTTATTTTTCAATCTGGTTATCTCTGCATTCTTGGCCCTGCCTTATTACACTGGCTAGAACATCTGGTACAATGTTGAATAAAAGTGGTGAGAGTGGACATCCTTGACTTGTTTCTTATGGAAAAGCTTTCAGTCTTTCATCATTGAAGATGGTGTTAGCTGTAGTTTTTGTAGATGCCCTTTATCAGATTAAGTTCCCTTCTATTTCTAGTTTGCTGAGAGTATCCTTTAAAAAAAAATCAAGAGTGGATGTTGGGTTTTTGTGGAATTATTTTTCTGCATTTATTGAGATGATAACATGGACTTTGTTTTAGTCTGATATTGATTTTTAATTGTTGAAGCAATCTGCATATCTAGGATAGATTTTTAAAACTGAGAAATTCATCAAGTTAAATTTGAATTTGATTTACTTGACTGCTTAGTTCCTGTAGCACAGTTTATCAACTCATGAAAGATTATTTTTCTAGCTATCACTGTTTCCAATAAGTCTTAAAAATTATAAACTTTTAAGAGTGAAATAATCTTTAAATAGATAAAATTCATCATAATTGGTTTGCCAAGATTAAATGCAATGTGCTTTTTTATTCAGCCTTTATAGAAGTGAGAAAATGTCTGAAGTGTCTACTTTATACGAGCTATTAGGTATTGCCCAGTATTTTGTGTGATTCCTACCTATTTACACAACTCTCTTTTTCCATCTACTTGTGAGAACATTGGTTGGGATTTATTATAAGTCAACTCCTTTTTGGAGGCATTTTCCACAAAGGAGGCTGCAGGAACAACACTGTTTTGGGTGACCCTGATAGTCCACAGAGGGGAACATAAAAAAATTCAACAATAATATCACCCATTAGCTACTGCTCCTAGAGAGATGCGCAGGAAGTGTTCATGATCAAATTTCAGTTGACACTGAGGGCAGGAAATGACTATTCTCATCAAAGGGAATTAAAGGATTCCCTCAGGCCTCAGAAGGCAGCAAGGCTGATTGCACTGCTGAGAAAGTTGCCAAAATGAAAAGGCAGATAATGAGCTCTGGAATTGGAGAGACAGAGCCAGTCAGCCATCAGCCATTTCATTAACCAGTAAATCAGACAAAGTAGACTGGAAGAAATTCAAGCCTTCAGAAGAAATGGAATCAAGATTTAATCCTCAAGGACGTTAAGCAAGCACATAAGCACAGACTAGAAGTTTTTGCAATACAGTGGCTGATGGTGTAGGAAATGGGAACAGGGAGCCCAGGGTCTGAGTGCTGCCCACCCAATTTCTGACCTTGTCTCCCTCCATTTTCTTTTGAGATCCTATCAGTTTCCTTTTTTTTGTGCTACTGTGAAGTACATAAAGCAACTGACAAATGACTGGTATATAGCTGTGAAAGGAGAAAGATGCCATTCATAGCCCTAAGTGACTTTTAAGGACAGGTTCTGTTCAATGGAAAAGTGCTTTGAACTGCCAAAGACTTAATTGGTTCGGTATGCGATGAGAATAAGAGCTGGGGAGTGTTGACTTGCCTTGCTCACTCATTATAAAAAGAGAATTGGTAGTTCCCAAGGATTTTGGTGGAAAAGGAACAGAGAAGTGCCTGTGAGTAGAGAGTCAGACAGAAGAAGAAAGGCTGCATGAAAGGCCAGTAAGAAACATGGCGGGCGAGTGCAATAGCACTTTTAAAGCAGGAATGACATGTTTTGAGTGAAAATTTTATAGACCTATCCCAATACTACACAGGTAAGCAGAACTGGAACTTTCTTCTTTTATGTATAATTGAACTAAATTTTGAATCTTCCCTTATAATAGATAGCAACAAAAGTAACCTTCCCATTCAAGGCTAGCTCAGGTACTTAGGGTTTGAAACTGTAGATTATGGCTATTTTCTCAATCATTTCCTAGTCTCCCTCAAGTTTTCCCTCCTTTCTGCCCAGGGGGTGACCTGTGTTCCAAAATGAAAAGAATTTAACTGTCATCCAGATCAGGGGAAGAGGGTGCCTAGTCCTTCATTAATCCCTGTCCATTTCTGGCAGCTACTGAACTGCAACTTATCCCACCAGCCTTTGGATACACATCCTGCTGAAATGACCACTGTCCTCCCAATTATCTGCTCAGTGCAGGCCACTCTGGGTTCTGCTCACTGGGGCATAGATCCTAGCTTCCTCCACATCCACTGTCCTGGGTGTCATCCCCATCTCCCTCTCAGGGCCAAGGTAAACTTCTGCTGCTGTCCCCATATCACCAAGACACCTTGGGCTAGATGTCTGGAATCTCTCTCAGATTTTGCTGGTGCCAGGATGTACGCAGAGTTCCTCTAAGAGATTCGCAGTCTTCCCAAGCTATGTTCTGAGAAGGAAAGCCCCATGCTTTCCTGGCTTGGGCCCCCTAAACCCATCTTGGATTTCCAGTCGCTTTTCCTATCTGGACTCTGCTTAGGCCAAGAGTGGGAGCAGGTTCCAGAAACACTCTCTTGCTTTCTTCTCTCCTTTGAGTCTCTTTGGCTGGGGACCCCACAAAAGTCTTTTATCCCCTTCTTGTGTGGCTGAAATTGGGCTCTTCATCTTTCGCCTCCCTATATATTGTTTGAGGGTAAACTTTATATCTTCTTCTTCCAGGCCTCAGTTCTTGATAATCAAAGCTAAGTTTTTGAAATTCAGAAAACATTTTTTTCAGGTGTTGTGGCTCTCAGCTCAACTCTGCTACTCAGAAATAAGGAGGCTTATATCTGACCTCCTTTTATGAGTACACAAAAGATGTTACATATGTTTCAGTAGTGGGAAGAAAGATAATGGTAAAAGGTACTGCAAAGAAGGAGAACTTCAATTAATATTTTAAATAATATTAACTACACTAATATGTGTTTTTAGATTGGTAGTACTGTGTTGCGTATTGTGACATAAGCAAGCCTAAAAATTCTAAAAAATCCTCAGTATTGTATATATATTCTCAAATATTTGGTTTGAGTTATTTTTAGATAGAAATAGAGGGAAAAGCTGAGTTGTAAGTCTAAGATGACATACCATGGAAGGGATGCAACAGGACACTAGAGCCTGAGTTGACTTTACTTCTCATTTTAAAATCTGCAGAAATTTGGACTTTTGTGGGGCATAGACTGTGGATTCAAGCTAATTTTATCTCAGAGAGTGAGTATATCCCAGCTGACATTTGGGTTAAAGAGGAAATGGTCAATAAATGTTAGCTAATTATAGTAGTAGTAGAAATAGAAATTGTGGCAGTAGGAATGTTCTTGAAGAAGCAGATATCCCAGTGCCAGCTGACTGGGGAAAGAACAACATGAGACAGGACCAGTGCAGGAGGTATCCTCTTAGCAACACTTGTTTAGAGTCCTAGGTGAGAGAAACTGAGACTGATATCCTAACCCACCATGTATCTCCTATAAATCATTATCTACAGCATAAAATGGTGCTCCAGAGGACCTCCAAATGTTAATTGATCAATGTCTGGTTGCTGACCTTGCAAGCAGGTGACGTCTGTGGCATCTGTGTGAGCTGCTATAATTGAGTACTTCTGGGTTGTCTGAAAGAGGATAAGATAAGTATATCAGTCAGGGTTCTCCACAGAAACAGAACCAATAGAATATAGTTACATAGATAGACATAGTGTGTGTGTGTGTGTGTGTGTGTGTGTGTGTGTGTGTGTGTATGAGCTATAGGAAATATTGTGATATATATTTCAATATAATCTTATTATGCTAATATCCTAAATCCTATTAGGATATCCTATTATGCTATATATTTTCTATATATCTGTCTAATATCTATATTTAGATTGATTTAAGGAACTGGCTCATACAGTTATAGGGGTGACAAGTCCAGAAAGTACAGGGCAGGCTGGCAGGCTGTAACTTCAAGCAGTTGATATTGCAGTCATGAGTCCTATGATAGTCTCGAGGCAGAATTCCTTCCTTCAGGAACCTTAGCTTTTCATCTTAAGGCCTTCAATTAATTGGATGAAGCCCACCCACATTATAGAGGGAACCTGCTTTACTCAAAGTTTACTGATTTAAATGTTAATTGTATCTTAAAAATTAACTTTAACAGCAACATCTAGACTGATGTTATACCCTACAACTGGGCACCTTAGCCTAGTAAAGCTGACACATAAAGTTAACCACCAAAATAGGGGGTTTTTCTTTATTTTCTTCAGAGACAAGGAGAGTGGCAAGCATGACTGTTATACTATTTGCTCCCTGTCCAATTCATCAGACAGGTTTGAGCACCAGTGGAAAGATGGGTGAGCCCCAAACTAAAGGAGATTCATGAGAATTCTGTGGACTCAGGGCTCAAGCAGAGCTGCTTTGCAAATGGCTCAGAAAAATATGACCCAGAGTTGGAAAGACAGGTACCCTTCCCACTTCTGTGGGAAACCCAACATTACCCTGGCCCTTCAAAATGGTCAGCCTGGAAGTGCCAGGAAACAACCCCCTTGGCACAGATGTTAATCTTCTCATTGAAGGCTCCATTAGTGATGGTGACGATGAGGTATCCCCCAGGTGGGGGTTTTATGAGACAGAGGCTGGAGTGGAGCTTGAGGAGAACAGGTGTTCCTGGGCATACCTGAGCAAGCTTCTAGGAATGCCTAGGCATGCCAGAGGGGAACATTTCTGGAGGCAGGAATTTCTGTCTGAGCAAGTAGAGACAATGAACCAATGGAAACCATATCCACAGGCTAGAAAGACCCAGAGACTTCTGGGTTATGTCACTTTACACACTGTATACCTTGTTATCTATACCTATCTACAAACTGCTTGAACATGATCTAATTAATAAAGTCAAGAATCCAAGACTCAGGGTGAGCAAAATCAGCACTCTTCAAGCTGTGCTTTACAGACGTATAGGTAAGTGTGTTAACTTTGCACAAAATCTGGTCTTCGGTCAAACTGATGGAGTTGTCTCAAGTTCAGCTGACTTCATTTAATTAACTTAACACAGGAAGCTATCTAGTTGGATGAGCAAGAGCACAAGATATGCGGTAAGATAAACATGAATTCATGTTCCGGTACCACCTTGATACCTTTGTGACTTGGATTAGTATTTAATGTTTAAGTCTTAGCTTCTTCCTCTCCTTACAGGTCTGTTACAAGCCCCAGTGTATAGTACGGATTCAACAAATAGCTGTTAATGTTATTATTGTCCACTTCATCTACCACTATTTCCATTTTCCCTCCTTCATCTTTAGCGGACATCAATGAAAGTAACTGTTAAATATCTACTGTGGTCCTTAACCTGGATGGGCATTTGTAAATGTTGTGGTTGGGGGCACTGTTTTTGGATGTCACAATGACAGGACGATTCAACTGGCATTTAGTGCCCAGACATCAAGGACAATAAATACTCTGCAATTTGTGGGTCAGTCTTGCACTATGAATTAATTGCCCCATCCAGAATACCTCTGGTGCCCATTAAGAAGAAATGTGTTTTCATTTCCACCTATTTTGAGCTAGAAAAGAGAAATGAGATGGAGGAGGAGCTGGGCCCGGGAGAAAGGTATATGAAGGCTTATACATGACAGGCCCTGTACTAATTGCTTTGCATTCACCATTCCTTGATTCCTCACAACAATCCAGTTATTAATTCCCACGTTACAAGTAAGGGAACTGAGGCAAGGAGAAGTTGAGCACTTCCCAGGCTTCTGCTGCTGGGAAGTGGGAGAGCCTGAATTCAAGCCCAGGTAGCCTGGCTCCGGAGCCCCATGCTCTTAAATATTACATTATCATGCCTCTCACTAGGGTGAAATAAAGCAAAACTAAATTAAGCAAAAATAACACAAAATACTCACTGTGAGTATAATTGGTTTTAGAGCTTCCAATGATAAATGAAAATTCTTTTTTAAGTTCCCAAAAATTAAAATAAAGTGATTTTCTGTATAGTGCCAGATGGATACTAGAGTAGTCAGGGGGATCACTTCTTAAATTATACAAATGTCTAACCACTATGCTGTACACCTGAAATTAATATAAAATAATATTGAATGTCAACTGTAATTGAAAAATTTTAAAAGGGGGAAAGGCGAAGGGAAATAAGAGGTCTAAATTTCCAGGTATAAAACAAATAAGTCATAAGGATGTAGTGTACAGCATAAGGAATACAGTCAATATTGTGATAGCTTGGTACCATGTCAGATCGTTGCTGGAGTTATCACAGTGATCACTTCTTTAGATATATGAATGTTGAATAACTATTGTGTACACCTGAAACTAATACAATATTGTATGTTGGCTATGTTTTAATAAAAATCTTACAAAAATAAAATAAATAAATAAAATAAAGTTATTTTCCTGGGTAATGTCTACATTGTGTCACAAGAGAAAAAATTTGAGGAAAGTATTAATAATCTCAACAGCACCATATGCACTTCTCCATTAAATTTATAGGAAATGACCCCTCCCAGTCCAGTGACCACTGTGTGTGTGTGTGTGTATATACATGTATTTTATATCTTCTATTTATATAGATAAATTTGTATTGAAGGATTACTCACTCTCCATAGTATTATAATGAAAAGCTTGACATTCAATTTTTTGTTTTCCGGAAAAAAGTATGTTTTGTTGCTTGAAGGATAACGAAGAAGTAAAGGTAACACCTTTGCCTTACAAATAACCTACATGACTTTAAATGACCTGCACTTTTATATATTCCATAATAATGGCCCTAATTTTTGGACTTTGAACTTTTACTTATCAACTGATGAACACACATTTAAAGGTGTCTTGCCATGCCTTGCTGGCCAGTCAACATATTATTTTAAACTATGCTTTCTTGGTTTGTCCAGAAATGTTTGTACAATTACTTGAATATTTATTGACTATTTTATTGTATTTTGCCATTATTTTAAATAATTAGTAATAGAAGAATGATACTAGTGCTACAATTGTAGCAGATGCAAATAATTAGTCAGGATCAGGTGTTTAGCTTTAGTTGCATCCATGTACTTTTGAACTTAAGTCTGTCAAGTATGTATTAAATTAAGAGAAAAAAGAAAAAAAAAACAAACCAAAATGCTAGAACTAGATTGTTGAAGCTCATGACTGATAGTTAAAGTGCACTAATCGTGGCAATGGAAAAATCTTTAAGGATTGGGAATTATCACTGAAAACACTGCAGACCTCTGAAGGCTCAGGGAAGTTCCCAGAGCCACTGCCAGCAATATGGCTTTGCAGCAGCTTCTACTTTCAAAGCACAAAGGAGTCAGGTATTCAGTTTTCACTCAATAAATATTTCAGTACAGTCAGTGAGCATTGTCACATTCTCCTGCTCAATCCTAGGCAACATTTTTTTTTTCTAGCAAGCTTCTTCTCATAACATTAAAGTAAAGTTCATGTCAATGCCACTTCAAGTAAGTTGAGTGAAATAGAATCGAGATAAGAAATTACTTCAGAAAATTATTTTTTGCCTGTATGTATTTGCCTCACTTTTTGGTGTTTATTATATGCTTTATGGATCCTAAAAAGAGACAAATCATATCCATTTATACCACTATTAACTAGTTTGTAATATTTTATAACTTTCTAGTAATGGAAGCTCTATTGTTTAGTCTATTGTGAGTCAATTGTCCTACCTTAGTTTTCGGGGATACTGGACATAAAAATGCGGGTCACTAAATATAAGGTCATGGGAGTCATTGTTAAGTCAGTCCCTCTCCCTCCCTCCTCTCCTTAGTTCTTTAATTCAAAACTTTTAGAGTTCAAAGATTGCTTTCAAAAGCTGGACCAGCATACCGTCAGTCAAAATAGAATAGGATCACACAATGTGATATATAGATCACATATTACACTTGAAACCTATGTAATTTTACTAACCATTGTCACCCCAATAAATTTTAATTAAAAAAAATAGAATTACGTCAGTTTTTCTCAATTTTCAGAAAGTTAATAGAGTTATCTCTATTTAACTTCTTTTCCTATAAATTTTCTTAACATCTTTTGTTCTAGCTGTTCCCAGAACCGAAATGAATAAACAAATTGCTAATAAATATTACCACAAAATTTAGGAACAGCCTATGAAGAGGATCTTTAATTGACACAGTATTGTGGTTGAGATATTATACTCTACATACGACTACAAAAATAGTCACATAGTTATATATATATATAGATCTCTCTCTCTCTCTCTCTCTCTCTCTCTCTCTCTATATATATATATATATATATATATATATATATATATATGTAATTCTACATCCTAGTAGAATATTGTTTAATAGTCTGCAGGAACCATGGAATCAAAGAAGCTTTATGATTTCCAGGTGTTCTTTAACCTAACAGCCTAAAGAAGGAAGCGTTGAGATACTGGTCTTCAAGAGAAGTCTCCTCTGTTGGTACCCCTACCACTTCAGGCTGCCCAGGCCACTATTGTCTTCTGCTTCTAAGGTGGAGGGAGGAATTCTGTTCCTAAATGTGTAAGCTCAAGCCAGCCCCCATACATTCTGATGTATATATATATATATATATATATATATATATATATATATATATATATATATTTTAATTTCATTTACTTATTTATTTATTTTATTGG